TCTCCCCAGTGTGGATGCGCCGGTGCGGGACAAGATGGGAGTTGTGTTTGAACTCCATCCTGCAGTCGGGACAGCAGAAGGGCCTCTCCTCTGTGTGAATCCGCAGGTGCAGGAGATCAGAGCTGGTATGAAACCTCTTCCAGCATTCATCACACTTGTAAGGCCTCTCCCCTGTCTGGATCATCTGGTGTTCGATCAGGTAAGAGCTTGTGCTGAAGCTCTTCCCACACTGCCCACAGTCATAGGGCTTTCCTTCATGTGACTCCCCTGGTGGACAATCAGATGGGAGCTCAGGCTGAAGCTCTTCCCACACTTGGGACACTTGTAGGGCCTCTCCCCAGTGTGGATGCACCGGTGCCTGATGAGAGAGGAGTTGTTCCTGAAGCCCTTCCCACAGTCAGAGCAGTGGAAGGGCCTCTCATCTGTGTGAATGCATTCGTGCTGGAGCAGACTGGAGCTGGTCTGAAACCTCTTCCTGCATTTATCACACTCGTAAGGCCTCTCCCCAGTGTGGCTTCTCTGGTGGACAGTCAGGTGAAGCTCATCCCACACTCAAGACACTCGTAGGGCCATTCCCCAGTGTGGATTATCCAATGGTCAGTCAGGTGGGATCTCTTTCTGTAGCTCTTCCCACATTCCGAGCACTTGTGGGGCTTCTCGCAATCCTAAAGCTGCTCATGGACCCCCAGCTCCGAGCTCCAGCCATCACCCTGGCACAGGGTGGGTCTTTCCTCCTCAGATCCCCGTGATCTGCGTTTGCAGCCCCTCCTCGTGAGGGATCTTCGTGTCTTTTCCTCCTCGTTGGATTCCTGTGCTGTGGAGCCACTCAAAATGGCCTTTTCCACGAGGTTCTGCTGCAGGGATTTGTCCTCCCTGGTCTCCATGCTCAGCTCCTTCCCTGGGGGAGGAAGGACAAGGAGAGAAAGGGATTTACCTCTGTGCCACAGGGAAGGACAAGGAGATCCCAGTGTGTCCCCAGCAGGACGGCCTTGGCCGCAGGGTTGTGCTGCTGCTGGGGGCTGTGCTGGGCTGGGAGATGGAGCAGAAGAGAGGGGGAAAGGGGCAGTGACTTCCTCCTCTACCTGCCTGGGGCTCCCAGGCCATCTTCCTCTTCCTCATGGCCTTCTCCATTGGGCCAAGATTTGGGAATGGGAAATCCTGGTTTGGGGGGTTTGTTGTTATATATTAGTTAAATGGTATGCTCTGTCTCACCCCTTGAAAATGTACGGTTTATTCCAAGCCTGTGATCCTCCTCTGAAGTATCATGTGTAATGATACTTGTGTAATCCCATTGACTCAAGACTTATTCCACATCCACTTTGAATCTTCCTGTTAAACTGCGCGAGGGAGAACAGACTCTCTCTTGGCCCTTTTCTCCCGAAGCTCTCCCTCTCTCTCCCTCCCTCCCCCTTCCCCCCTTCTAATAACATTCCCAACACGGATCACTGACACCATGGATCACCGGGGCTCTGCCCACCAGGGGTCACCGGGGATCGTCCTGCGCATACCATCCTATGGGAGATGGAGCTGGAACAGCACGTGAAGCTCTTCCTGCATTCAGGGCACTTGCAGGGCTTCCCTTAGCAGTGGCTTTGTTGGTGTCTGGTCAAGAGAGAGTTTGTGGAGAAGCTCTTCCCACACCGGGGACACTCATAGGGCTTCTGCCCACTGTGGATGCGCCGGTGCCTGACAAGATGGGAGTTGTGTTTGAAGTCCATTCCGCAGTCGGGGCAGCAGAAGGGCTGATGCTAAAAAACGGTGTAATTACTGCTTAATTTTTTAAATTGTTAATTGTCGTATTTCTCTTTATCTTTTCTTTCTAACAAAAAAAAGGGTGAAATGTGGTGTTATATATTAGTTAAATGGTATGCTTTGTCTCGCCCCTTGAAAATGTACAGTTTATTTCAAGCCTGTTATCCTCCTCTGAAGTATCATGTATCTGTAATCCCATTGGCCCAAGTCTTATTCCACATCCACTTTGAATCTCCTTGTTAAACTGTGTGAGGGAGAACAGACTGTCTCTAGACCCTTTTTCCCTAGGCTCTCCCTCCCTCCCCCTTTCCCCCTTCTCCCTCAGAAACCATGCTGCTCATGGGTGGGACCCCCAATAAACCCTCATCTAATTAGCACCCTCAGAAGCCGTGTGGAGTCTCCTTGCCTGCTGGCTGTTACCAGTTGTGAAAAAGGCCAATCACTTGTTTTTGAAATTTTAAAAGTTTAATAGTAATAAAATGGTTATAAAAATAGTAATATAATTAGAATAATAAAATTTGAACATTTGAGATTAAGACAATATGAGACAATAAAAACAAAGAGATACAGATGCCTGGGTATCTTTTTCTGGGCAACACAAGCCCGAGAAAGGACACCTGTTAACAAAGGATTAACTCCTAAAAACAATTGCCTGTTGCATATTCATACGTCTCATACATGATGCATAAATTCCATTCAAACACAGGATTCTGTCTGGTCACTGTCAACTTCTTCCTCCTAATCCTCCTGCCGTCTTCCTGTCTGAGTGAAGTGGGAAGAAGTTAGTTTTCTGCTGATAAGAGAGCAATAAATTCTCTTTTTCTGAAAGATTTAGGTGTCCTGTGGCTCCTATCTGGTCGAGTCCTTTCTTAAACAAATATCTTGCATAGCATAGTTTATATTTTAACATTATGTTATAGCCTAAAACTATATTTAATACACTACTTAAGAAAATGAATATAACATAACTTTCTAGCATAGTACAATATTCATCTTAATACTTGCGAAAAGCCAATCATAAAATACACATTTTTCACACCAGTGAACACACAGCTTAGGGGGCGCTCTGGAGACTCCATGGGGAGCCCCCTCAAACGAACTGCAACAAATGGAAAACAAGGGCTGAGCGCATTGTGTTTGATGGTCCCGCTGCCCAAGTGCAGCTGGAAAAGTCAGCGCCCCTTTCAGCCTCGGTAGCCCGGAGCCCACTCATCCCCAGCCTCCCCCACCCTTCCAGACTGCCCAGGTTCTCCCGACTGCGGGATCGCCGCTCTGATCTCTCCTTGCTCTGGCTCTCTTGGGGATCCTGAAGCCTGATATTTCCCCTGTGCCCGCCGCTTGTTTGTGACCAACACTTGGGACCTGCCAAGATCCCTGCAGGGCATTTCCGGCTCAGCTCTGGGGTCCTCAAAGATCCAAATATACCCTGCTGAGCAAAACAACCCTCCCAGAGACGCCCCCACCAATGGATTTGGGGGCGAGCTCGCCCTCCCCGCTCACCTGCGGGTTCCGGGGGGCAGGAGTGGTCAATGCTGGTGGAACCAGGGGAGCTGCGGTTTGGGCGGGCGGCAGAAACCGCGTGGTTCTGCTACTCCTGCTGCTCCTCGTCCTGCTGCTCCTCCTCTTCCTCACCCTCCTTTTCCTCTCCCTCCCGCTGCTCCTCCGTTCCCAGCCCAGCCCGGACAGCACCGACACCCAAAAGCAGCCGCTCTCTGCCCTGGGGGGTTCCAAAGTGACCCCACCCCGCAGTGGCAGTGATACTGGGAGCACTGGGACACATAGGGAGAGCACCAGGAGCTATCCTCACTGGGAAGGAATTGGGAGCCCTTTCCCTGCCAGTGCCGCTCTTACTGGGAGCACTGGGAGGGAACTGGGAGCAAACAGCGCCCGGACGCGGCTGCAGCTGGCGGTGGTGGGACCAAGCCGAAGGCCGTGATTATGCAAATGCAAATATAGGAGTGATGGCACACTGGGATTGGTGGGCAGGAGTGTTTCCTCTGTCTGGTGATGGCCACGGTGTGGGCAGGGGGCCGGAGCAATCGTGGGGGGTCCGGTGAGAGGGGACAAGGGAGCGGGAATGGGAAGATGGGAACGGGACCAGGGCTGGGAATGGGACTGGAAATAAGAGATAGAAGCAGGACAAGAACCAGGAATTTGGGACTGGAACCGGGAATGGGGACAGGGACAGGTAATATGGGACTGGGAATTGGGACAGGGACTGGGAATAGCAAAGGGAGTATGGTGGGACACCTGAAATGGGACCAGGGATTGGAATATCAGAATGGGACAGGAAATATGGAAACGACATCCGGAGAGGGAATATGGGATAGTGATTCGGAAGATGGGATAGGGATTGGAAACAGGAGTACGGAATGGGGAGTGGGAGTATGGGAATGGACAGAGAATATAGAAATGGAAATGTGGGACCGGCATTGGAACCAGGAATACGAGAACGGAAACAGGACGGGGAATATGGGACTGGATATATGGGAACGGTACCAGACAGAGGATACGGAACAGGAACAGGGAATGAGACTGGGAGTGGGATCCGGACGGGACCAGGAGTGGGGTGACATGGTGTGATGGGTTCAGTGTTGGCTAAATGCTCATGTACTCTCTAGAATTATTTACTTATTTCTTGTTGTGAGATAGGATTAAGAGAAAGTTAAAGTACGTTTAAAACTTTAACAGGGTATAAAGAAAACTTTAATAATAGGACTAAAAGAAAGAATAATAAGAATCAGAATAAAACTTAGAACATTTCTCATCTCCCCACAACTTTTTTTTTTTTGTTTCCTACTGACAATGTATAGAGATAATTTGGTATTATCACTCAGTTCACTTCTGCTAAAATAATCTTTCATCAGTTTTCTTAGGGAGAGTATTGCCGGCCGAGGGCTATGTACAAATCATGAATGGGATGGGACTGCTGTGGAATGCATCTTGAGCTATTTATTTTCCAGCATCAGTCTCATTACATGCTTATGACAATGGGAAGATGCCAGCAGCTCATGTCCTCGGCAGCAGCTGAAGAACTCAATGTTGCAACTCACTTTAAAAGTTTTTTAACCAATCACACAAAGCAAAAACATATTGACAGTAGTTCTATCCAATCAACATAAGCACGTGTACCTTTTCTTAAAATTATGCTTGCTTATTTTGAATTCAATACCTGCTTGTATGCATTAAGATACAATGCACAGAGCTCCATTATTAAGTTTAGAACTTCCTAATATCTCGCTAGATATACTTTTCTGTAGCTTAGGGATGTACTCTAGCCAAGCCTTAATACACAGACTGTGGAGGACTTTGTGGACAGCTGGCTAGCTGACAAAGGTCACACTGACACAATACCGTTAGTTAAGGAAGAAGGAGACAGGTATAGGAGCCAGCAGTCAGTGTCTGTATCAGGCAAGGGTACTGTGCCCTTGGTGCAACATCAGGATGGGGGAGAGGATTAGTTAGAAAAATGAAGAAAAGATGAGAACAGCTGCAACACAGTAGCCACAAGAATGCTAAGGTAGGCGCAGTTAGCTGATAAGTAACTAGCCAGTAATGAGCTTGCCTTTTGCAATATGTATTAGCCTCATTAACAGCAATATAAATGTGTGTGCCTATCAATAAAGTTCCGAGATTTGCTGATCACTCATACTGAGTGCCGCATTTCTCCTGCCGATCTCAACAAAATGGTGACCCCGGACACGATACTGGCAATGGCAACCATGGTGGATCGGTGAACGAGTTCGGTCCTGTCGCAGCAAGGACGGTGAATAAGCGCCACTGAGAAAGCGAAAGGTGCTGCACCCTGGGTGACCATATAGAAGAGCCTGGCCGATACGTGCTGCTGAAACCTTTGTAGAGGCTGCATCAGCGCTGAGATTCTCAAAATGGAAATGGAAAGGCAACCAGCATATGATTTATTTTCTTGCTTTTTAGAAAAGCGTCAGGTTAAGGACATAGATTTGCAGAATCTCCTGGCTGTCAGCTTACAGGTATGCACAAGGACTTTTTCAGAATCCTCACACAGTACATGAATTAATGGAGTGGCGTAAGTTCAGGATCATGAGGGCGACAGGGGCTGCGGGGGAGGCCGGGGAAGACGCGGCGGCGGCGAGGACGCGTGTGGTGGCGGCGGCGGTCACGCGCACCGCGGGCCCAGTGACGCACACAGTGATGTGAAAAACGCCAATCACTTGTTTTTGAAATTTTAAAAGTTTAATAGTAATAAAATGGTTATAAAAATAGTAATATAATTAGAATAATAAAATTTGAACATTTGAGCAGGTGGCGAGGGAAGTGCCAGCCAAGGCCAGACGCGGGGGCCGGACACGCGGCAGCGACAAGCGCGGTGCCATTGGTGGCGGCGGAGTGCGGCGGCT